ATATAAAATATTCTGTGGTTATATTAATAAAATCTCTTTTTTTGCCACATTCCTATATTTATATGTCAATAATTCAATTTACCACTGAAAAATATAAATAGCCTATACTTTTTTCTTTTGTCATGAATGATAGAAGAGAAAACATTAACGTAATATTTTATTTTCGCAAACTATTCTTCTTTTTGAAGATACTTTGTTTGGTAACAAGCCAATCATCACCATATGTTGCCAAAGGGTTCTTTATTCATGTTTATGATCATCTACAAAAAATAGTGTTTGAAGCAGAGAATACATGACAATAACTAAAGAGATCTACTATTGCTAAATAATTTTCAAGATTTCATATTTCATGATATACCAAAAATAAATGAGAATATAACAGTATTTTGAAAATACAATATACCTGTTCATTTGCTCCGATGTTATTTGAAAAGCTGCAAAGTAAATTATTATTACACTAAAATTATGTACATGTCTCTCATTTTATCTGAATATATATGTATGTCGATATTATTATTAGCTCAAAAAACGAGATTTCTATTTAAATCTCTTTTTCTTGTTGCTTTGTTTTGTTTGCATCATAAAAGTCTATAGAATTTTTACAATTATTATCTATTCTTTGTGACACGCGAGAATAATACATAGTCTAGCAATTATGATATAATTAGATTTTCTATAATCCATATCATGATTGCTGAAAGTTCAGAATAATTATAGTCTGTATTGAGCTTTTGCTAAACATAATCCTGTTTAGTTAACACTATTCCATTTTGTAAAATATTTTCAAGTATATTATTATTGATGCAACTGAGCAAGATATATTGGAAGTTGCAAAAAATAATATACGCAATAATTACCTATCTTGAAGTAAATTTTTTTTTATATTTTTATGGTTAAATAGTTCGCAATGCATTAGTAGTGAATGACATAAATATAGTTCGATAACAAAAAGTATTATTGAAACTTGTCAATGTAAATATTCAGTTATCGATAACATTTTACTCTTCTGCTTGTTCGATTGAGCGCCAATTACTGCCTAATTGTCTGTTTTTTCCTTGCTAGGAAACTAAGAATCATGAAAATTACAACTTTTTCAACGAAATATGTTCGTTTCATAGAGATATTCATAAAATTTAGGTGAGAAAAATACTCTTGTACTAAATAAATGAAGCAGCCATTGTTTTTTTTAATTTTCACATAATTTAAACCTTATTTAAATCTGGTCGTGCAACTATCTCGCCCTGATCATTAGAACTATATAATATAGCTTCACCATGGGGATATAGCTCAGTGGTAGAGCATTCGACTGCAGATCGAGAGGTCCCTGGTTCAATCCCGGGTGTCCCCTATCTTTTTTTTATTATTTATACGTTAGCATAAGCTTTTTTCAGAATACGAATAGATGAATCAATGTGGTTACAGACATTAGTGGTATCTATCCCGTTTAAAACGTCATCTTTCGTTTATCTAATCTCTACAGGTTCAAAAATAAGTTGTTTGTGAATCATTGGTTATACAACAGTTTTTTATAAAATTTTTAATGGATTTGAACATGAACATATATTCTTCTCTACCATTTATAGTCTGTTCTAGATGCACAATTGGACTTCACATTGAACGGTAGTTTCTGTTTCTCGATAAAAAATCATAGTAACCCAGGAAAAAAAATAGTGTTTTTGGTCTAGAATTAAGGTTAAAATGCGTATTTCTATATTATATTCCAAAGTTTGTCTCTCCAGACGAAATGAAGAAGTGTTCAAGGTAGGGAGTTTAATTCTGTATCGATTAATCATCTCGATATGTTTCAAAAAATCATGTAGTTGTACACGACAGATCGTCAGGAAATGGATTATCAAGACAAATAGGACTGATGACTCGAAATAGTCTTGGCTACACGTTATCATTAATTTTTATTAATAGTTTTAATATCAATATATTCAACTTGTAATATTATTACTATGGATTTAATTGTATTTTTTTATTCTGTATGAATTTCTTTGCACATCTCTGTTTATGTCTGTATGGGAAGAGCCAAACGGGCGAGTACAATTATCTACTCATAAACACTTCATCACTGCTACTTGTAGATCGTGTTTCAGAAAAAGACAAAATCATTTTAGTTCTTTTCAACAAGTTGGATAAACAAAATAAAAATTCATCTAAAAACTAAATCATCATTATTTATATTTTTTCTAAATTTTATTATTTGATCACAAAAAATTACAAGAAATATGATAAAGAAGAGCTTGGTTATACTTCATAAGTATATAATAAATAATAAATACACGTTTCAAGATAAAATAAAATGTTATATAAAGTAATAATTTCAATGTAGAATAATGTTACATATATGATCGATAGACTTTAGAGTTTGAGAAATTTCTGCACTCTAGCGTTGCCTGTATCAGCAACATACAAGTTCATTGATGAATCGAATGCAATACCTTTTGGTTGGTGAAGTTGTGTTGCACTACTACCAGAGATGCCAGTACCATCTTGAGGGTGGATGGGTGTGCGTGTGGAGTGCAGGTCTAAGTCTGGGTATTCTTTTTATGCCACACCCAACACCCTCAAGATGGTTTATATTAAATCTATTCGTGGAATATGTTCTAATAATTGTATATCTAATTGTGTTATTTACGATTGAAACATTATATTTTATATGAAGTATTGAACAGATGACGTTAATAATGTTTGATTAACTGTTTTCTCAATATTGACTGTAAACCTTTTGAGTTTCGCCGAGGTATAAATACGCTTCTAGGTTATTTTTTAATTATTTGGAAAACTTTTCACTTCATCAAATCCTATAAGAAGCTTTTCTTTCACTTTTTAACAGCAGAAGTTCGTAATCCACTGTTAATTTATAAAATGCAGAATAATATTTTGTTCTATCACCCTCACTTTCATCTTAAAAATATCAGAATTGTTTTGATAGATATATATGATATGTGTCACGACTGAAATATATTTTTATATATTAGCATATGAAAATAAATTACTAATATTTTTTTTCATACTGAAATGTTATTTCTCTGTAAAAAAAGAATCACAATCATAATTAATCATCTCTCCTAAAAATTTTGATTCTTGTACTAAAAAAATAGTTGGAGCACAAAGGTTTTTAATGATTTATATGACATGTTTTTAATTTGTTGAACAATTTACGAATTATTTGTCTTTACTAAATTTTTATTTTCTAAATAGACTTAAATTTATTATTTATTTGAAATATTTACACATAATATTAAATCTTTCATTCATATGTCTAGGAAAGAATCCTAATATTCCAGGCATATTCTAATCTGGATGCATTCTGGATAATCGCTTGAGAAATGCTCTGTTTACATATTTTCTTATATTAAATAAAAAATAATTAATACAAATCTTTTATGGAGAAAAATAAATAATCTGATTTAAGCAAAATATGTCACACCCAATCTTTCACATTAAAGATTTTCATCAATATACGACTAAAATAGATGTACTATTTGCTTGTCTCGGACATTTGTTAAAAGAAGATTATATTTTCCATTTTGATAATGCTAATGAAGAATTATCTAAAATATAAAGATGTTTATAAATTTCATTTGCTTCAACAATGAATAACGAGACGACTCTCACAGCAGGTTTTGTATTACCTTTACTTACAGTCATTCATGGTTCAATAGCTAGTATAATGTCAACTATTGTCTTCTTTATTATTATCTATCATCAACATAATAATCGAATAAAACAAGAAGAAAGAATTACTTTGATCTTATGTGCTAATATTTATCTTTGTATTTTTCTTTGTTCAACTATGTTAATTCTACTAAATATTCAAACATTGTTAGGTGATCTT